CGCAGAAGGGGGCAAGGTCGCCACAGACGCACGCGGAATCCCGCGCGCGTCACCGTAAACCCCGCGCCGGAAGACCCGGCGCAGGAGGCGGCCAATCGCCACGGACGCACGCGAAACCCCGCGCGCGTCACGGCAAACCCCGCGCCGGAAGACTCAGCGGAAGAGCGGGCGAGGTCGCCACCGACGCACGCGGAACCCCGCGTGCGCCACCCCAAACCCCGCACCGGAATACCCGGCGCGGATGGGGGGCGACTCCGCCGAGGGTCTCCTCCAGGCGGCCACCACCCGTTTACGGCGCACGCGGATCCCCTGCGTGCCACCGCCCGAGCCGTACCGGATGGACCGGCGCGGGGGGGGAAGCTGACCCGCCGGCAGGACGACCTGACGCGGCGGTGGTCAAACGGCTTGGCGCCCCGGTGCATACCCGTCGCCGAGAGACGGAACCCAGCCGCATAAATACTGTATGGGCACGACCTCGCCGGGGCTCCAGGGCACTGTGGACCACGAGTTGCGCGAGCGGCATACACCGCCCGGCACGTGTGGCCGCTAGACCACGGCGGCGGTTCAAGACGCCTCCGATCCTCGGGGGGTACCCAATCGGAGCTCGTCAAACCGCCGAGAAACCACCCGCCGCAAGGAAAAAGCAGGCGGAAATTACCAAGGAGAAGGCCGGTTCCGCCCCAAGCCGGTAATGGGGACGCGCACCGGGTGTTGCGGGGGGAACGGGGACCCGCCCCCGCAATGACCCGTCACGACGATAGTGCGGTCGCCCGCCCGCCGGGCCGCGGTACGCGTCAACCAGACATGGAAGCGAGGATGGAAACCCGCAGCGGTACCCCCGACCAGGCGGTCGGGAAGATCTCACCCCGACGGGCGACCCCGAGGGTAGGCCACAGGCCGCACCCGTCGCGGTAACCCGCCACCGCAAGAGCGCGTGGGCAACCGCGCGCTACCGCTGCCCCGCGCCGGATTAACCCGGCGCGGAGGGCCCTGGACGGCAAGGAGGCGACTCCGGTCGCCGGCTTTTAATTAAGCCCAAAAGGGGGCTACGTTTTTCCTCCTAGAAGGATGGGAAAAAATCGTAGCCCCTTCCCGTTAGCGGCATTGTACTCCCCGGGTCTGCCCGCGTCCGGAGGTCGCAAGACGGAAAACCGACTTTGGGAAGGCCTAGGCGGATTTGGAGACCGGAACTGTAAAACGCTGTTTCTGCTCGTGTTTTACAGTTTCCTTTCGTTTCCAAATCGCGCCTCCGCGGAAAGTGACAACGGCAGGACTTACCGACCGGTTTTGGACGAACGGCAGAGCGTACCGCCGCTGGGAGCTCCCCACTGACCGCACGGACAGGCTGGCGGTCACACACCCCGCTGTCTCGCGGGTGAAAGAGCGCCGTTTTTGGAAAAACGGCCGGCCCTCCGGGGGGGTGGGGGAAAATCGCTCCTTTGGCGCCGGTTTAATGATGCTCGGCGCCGGGGGAAGACGCCCCACCGCAACGGCAAGCCTACCCGGACGGTTGAAGGTACAGCGGGTCCGTCCGCTGTACTTGTAAACCAAAGTTCCCGCCCGGTTCTTCAAAAGAACACTGTACGGGAAGAAGGGCTACGATTTCCCCTCTAGAACGGCGAATAAAAATCGTAGCCCATATCCGAGAACGGTTCCAGACTCCTGAGGTCGTCGCCGACCTGGGACTATTTGGAAACAGAAACGTGTTTATGCCGTTTCTGACTGTTTTTACAGTTTCTATTAGTTTCCAAATAGGAACCGTTCGGGAAAGGGACTACCGTGCAGTTTTCGCTCTCTGTTTTGGCCGACAGAGGTACCGCACGCACCGGGAAAGGTCTGAGACGTACCGGTGCGGGGCTGGCGGGGGCGTACCCGTGGGGTTTTGGAGGAAATCGAAGGGGAATTCTTGGAAAAATGGCCAGCCCTCCGGGGGGGTCCTGGAAAAACGCTTCTTTGCGCCGGTTGTTCGATGACCCGGCGCAGGCTGAAGCCGCCTAATCCGAACGGTGGCGTACCGCGGATGGAACCGCGAACCGCTGGAGCGCTGAACTCCTCCCCGCCGGTCAGGAGATGACCGCCGCTGCGGGTGTGCATGCGGGTTTGAGGACTCGAGGAAGGTGACTACTGTACGGCCGCGTCTCCGCGGCCGACGCATGGTCTCCGTTCGGGATAGGAGACCGTCGCAGCTGGCAGGGAATTTAACCCGCCGCGACGGGGACGTGTCGCAAAGTAAGGAAGGGGGTCTGTAGTACAACGGCGCGAAGGCAACGGCGCCACCGCTGCCGCCCCGGGATACAGTACGACGGGCTGTAAGCGCGAGAAGAACTGTAAGGAGTTATATTTACAGCACACGGCCGGTGCGGAGTACAGTAGTACCCCGCTGGTTACACGTGTAGGATCCGAACGGTAAGTAATTAGTAATTAGTAGTTAATGGCACAAATTAGCCAATTTAGCACAGTAGCTGGTATACAGTAGGTAACAGCTACTGTAGCGGGACAGGTGTCCTGGCGTCCCACTTAGGGGTTAAGACCGGGGGCACCTGCCCCGTTCCAGTAAACGGGGGCAGACTCGCCTCCCTTCCCTTTACGGCTAAGTGCTAACACCGTTCCGGTTTTCCTTTAGCTCAGGCTTCTAACCCGTGACCGGCCGTCCGGATCTGACACCACCGACCGGCTGCGCGTCACCGGCCACGTGAGCCTTCCCTCTTTTCGAGTCCTTCCGTACGGGTCGCGCTCGCGTGGGTTACCCAGCGTCGCGGGCTCCCTTGCCTCTAACCCCCCTCGTTCCGAGTGGTCGGGACGAAGGTAGTTATACCACATGGCGGACGGGTGCGCTTGTGACGGGGCGGTCGAGGTGGTGGTGGGAGCGGTGGCGCGGAGGGCGGCGGCGCGGGCCGCCCGCATCGCGCAGGGGCGATGAACGCGGAAGGTTGTCGCTGCGAGCCGGGCAGGAGTCGCAGCCAGCGGTGCAAGGAGGGCGCGTGCGAGCGGGAGGGTGCCGGGAGCCGCCGCCGGGTAGCAGTGTTAGGCGGAAGCGAGCGGCGGCGCAGAGGGCGGCGGCGCGGACCGGGCGCGGCGCGCAGTGGCGGGTAACACGTGGCAGGACGAGGGGGCAAGGGGCGACGAAGACCGGAGAGATAACGGGAGAGTTATCGCAGAGGGCGGGGGAGCAGCGGGGCGGGGAACGACGGCGTGTGTGGAACGAGGAGCAGAGGAGGAAGGGACTTGGCTTAGCGCGCGAAGCGCGCACGGAGCCCACTTGTCCACAACTACTAATACTCCTGTTTGTGTGTGTGTGCGTCTGTCTGTGCACTTTCGCAAATTTCGCCACTTTCGGAATATATAATCGGGTAAATTTGGGATCCACAATTTTTGGCGCCCACGGGCGGGGCGCGCCCCGGGCGCCGGCCGGGCCGCCACGCGGGCACGTGGCGCCCACGGCCATGAACGGCCATGGGCGGGGCGCGGTCTGGCCGCAGGCCAGGCCGCCACAAGGACACTTGGCGGCCACGGCCATGAACGCATAGATTTTTCACGTAGAGACTTATAAATCTTTACGTGAAAAATCTATGCGTTGTTCGCAGGACAAGAATAAAAAACAGCCAATTTTCGGGTCATTTTTTAGTTGTAAAAACGGCCAATTTTTCGCCATTCCCGGCGCACGGTCAGTTTCCCAAATGCTACCACTGTATCTAAATATATATAGCCGCACCTCCGCAGCACAGTACCGGCTTCCGATTTTAACATTTTTTAGAAAATCGTTCACGGCGTGACGGCTCCCTGGTAGCGTGGTGACCAGAGTCCTGGGCAAGGTAGCGATCGTGACTCTATGCCGGCGTAGTAGTAGGTCGAATACAGCATTCCCTGCGAAATGTTTACTGGATTGCTTTACGGCATCCGAATAGTCCCTAGGTGTCTATTGTGCTGTACTTTTAGTATAGTGTGGTAGTCTGCCGCCGTGCAGGAAGCCTATTCCGGTAACGCGCCATTTATTGGTGCTGCAGTATCGGGCTCGGAACAACGGCCTCCGCAGAGCAATTTGCAGACGACGGACTGACGTCATTGTAACGTCGACAACGAAAATCAAACGCAGCCTCCGTCAACCTATAGAGGCTGCAGGAAGACCCAGTGTTGGTGCCGTTAGGGGCTTCGGGAAACCTAACCACCGCATTGAGGGAAAAGGGAGCGCACGTACTTAGCGACCCCGGCGGAGAGAGCCTTGCTTTGCGAGAAGTTCTTTCTAATACCGGGCCCCCTGGGAGTAGAAATAGAAACGTGGTCTTACTACGAGAATTATTACTCTGCTGTGTGTATAGTAAGATCATTTCTCTATTTCTATTTCTTTTTTGTTTTCTGTTCGTTTGAGTGGTGAGTTAGTCTACGTCATGCGGCCAAGAGTTCCTTCTCCTTTAGTTAGTGAAGCCAGGCGCGCACAGGAGCGTTCACGTGCTGCACGGTGTCATCAACCAAGAAGTGAGGAGGAAATCGAGGAACGTAGACGTTGCAACAGAGTGCAAATGGCAAGGAACTGTGCTTCAGAGACTGCTCAACAGCGTGAAGTGCGACTTTTGGGAGATGGCGAGGCTACTCGGAGACGAAGGAATGCGGAGACTGAGCTGGAGCATGTGAATCGACAAAGTCTAGACCAAGTGTCCACCCATGATGCCAGAGCCAATGAACACACTCCAGTCAGACGTTTCCGACATAATTTGAACCGTATTCGTATGCGTGAGGCTAGAAGAATGGAAGACACGCCTACAAGGAGTGCCTCTCAGGACTCTAATCGAGCAAGCATGCGTGAGGTTAGAGGAATGGAGGATACGCCTACAAGGAGTGCCTGTCAGGACTCTATTCGAGCAAACATACGTGAGGCTAGAAGTATGGAGGACACACCTACAAGGAGTGCCCGCCAGGACTCTAATCGAGCAAACGTGCATGAGGCTAGAGATATGGAAGACACACCTGCGAGGATTTCCCAGCAAGGAGACAACCGTTCTCACATGACTCAAGCGCAAAATCTCGAAACTTCTGCTGAGAGACAAACCCGCTTAGCTAATGCTCGCCGATCTCGAAGAGTTTCCCGTAGGCTCTTCGACAACAGTACAGGCGAATGTATAGACTTTGGGTCCTTAGATGTTCAATGCCAGTTCTGCGGTGCGTTTCACTTTCTTGAAGAGCGGTTGAAAAGCAGCTTTGACCGTCGGCCTACATTTCCTACTTGCTGTGGCAACGGAAAAGTATCTTTTCCGACCGCACAGTCTCCCCCACCTTTTCTCAGAGCTCTACTCACCGGCACAGAGCCAAGGGATCGAAAGTTTCGTAACAGCCTGCATGTTTATGACAATGTCCTCTCTATGGCTTCTGTTGTGGCAAAGTGGGTAGCGAGGGGGCCTGGAGCGTCCAACTTCAACCCTACAATGACAATGCAGGGTCGAATCTATCACTACATGGGTCCTCTCTTGCCTTCGACTTGCCGCGATCCAGCGTTTCTGTCTGTTTATATTCATGACACAGACTACGCTGAACAGTCTCAGATCAGAGCAGGACGTGTTCGTGAATTGGACGAGGGAATTCTTACTCAGCTCACTGCCATGCTGCATCACGTTAACCCCTACGTCCAGACTTTCCAGAGTCTGAGAGAATGGGCTAGCAATGACAATTCTCCGACGCCCTATCGTATGGTGATTCATGCTGATAGAAGGCCCGTTGGTGAACATGTTCGCCGATAAAACGGGCCTGAAAAGTCGGGGGTGGCGGCACTGATTCCTGGGAATGACGATGGAGAGATCAGTAGACGAGACATTTCAGTCCGTAAACGTGGACAGCTGAACAGCAATGGGAATGAAGTTCTGGATACCATCTCTGTGACGCATAGGTCTTATGACCCACTGAGCTATGTGCTATTGTTTCCTTATGGGCAAGATGGGCGGCATCCGGAGCTGAGACTTCCGCCCAGTGCTGCTTCTGCGTCATCCAGTACTGCTCCACGTAGGCGCAACAAAGTAACACCCTTGACGTTCTACACATGGAGACTCTTCCAGAGACCTTCGGAGTTTAGCACGATCTTGCACGCACGCAGACTCTTTCAGCAGTACTTGGTCGACCATTACTGCAAAATTGAGGCTGAGAGGCTATCGTATTTGCGGCACAATCAACAAGCGCTACGCCCATCTGATTACACCTCTCTGCGAGAGTCTCTTGGTGACTCCGGGAGTGGCGAGGATGAGGCTGATGCTGTGCGTGCTGGCCGATTGTTCATACTGCCTTCCACTCAAATTGAGGGCGATAGATACATGAGACAGCAGATGCATGACATCATTGCTATATCGAGTAAGGTTGGGCACCCTGATATCTTTCTCACGGTCACCTGCAATCCTAACTGGCCTCAGACAGTATCTCCAAGGAGAGCCCGACGTATTACGTCGGGCTCTCCTTGGAGACCAGACGCCTCAGGACAGGCCCGATCTCTGTGGTCGCGTGTTCCGTCTCAAGCTTAATGCTTTGATGTCGCATGTCATTGACGAGAAGCTCTTCGGAACAGTTGTCGCAAATGTCCGTGTAATAGAGTTTCAGAAGCGAGGTCTGCCGCATGCGCACGTCATATTCTTTTTGGATGAGAGATCAAAAAATGATCTTCGGACACCAGCCAATGTCGACAGCATTATCTCTGCCGAGATCCCGCCTTCTTGTGAGGCAGAACTGCAAGAATTGGTCTTGAAACACATGATTCATACCCTTGCGGTTCTCAAAACAGACAAGCTACGTGCATGGGTGAACGGTTCTGCAGAAAGCGCTTCCCGAAGGACTTTAGCAGTGAGACCGGTCAGTCCGAGAGTGAATACTACATTATGTACAAGGGGAGGACACCAATTGAGGGTGGCGTGTCTGTACAGATGCAGATGAGGATTGGTAGTTCCCACCGAATGGTTACTGTTGACAACTCCTGGGTTGTCCCACACAGCCCCAAGCTGCTCCGAACGCTTGCTTGCCATATCAATGTCAAATTGTGCGTGTCCCGCGTTGGTGGGATCAAGTATCTCTTCAAGTATGTGTGCAAGGGATCCGACAGAGTAACAATGGAGATTATTGCTGAGAACGAACGGAACGATGAGATCAGTAATTTCCAAGATGCGAGATATGTGTCTGCATCCGAGGCTGTCTGGAGAATATTGCGGTTTGACATTGTTGATTGCAAGCCGCCTGTAATGAGACTGGATGCTCACCTCGAGAACCACCACACAGTGGTGTTCGAGGAGGGTCGAGAGCGGGAGGCTTCAGAAAGAAACAGACCGGGACGAAACTGGCGGAGTGGTTCAAGGCCAATGAAAATTATCCGGGAGCACGACATATAAAATATGACGACTTCCCTAGATACTTCACTTGGAACAGGTCCACAAAGACTTGGAAGCCACGCGCAAATATCAGGAGGAGGAACCCTCAAGACAAGAACGACCTCTTCAACTTTAGTGGATCTGGATCGAATGTCATTGGTCGCATCTACACTGTCAGTCCACGAGAGGGCGAGAAGTACTTTCTCCGCTTGCTTCTCAAGCAAGTACCAGGGGATACTTCTCTCCAGAATCTGCGCACCGTCGATGGAGTAGAGTGTACCAGTTTCCGAGAAGCCTGCTGTAAGATGGGATTGCTAGCAGACGACGCGAAGTGAAGGCACGCCACACAGGAGTCATTCCGTTCTTCGTTTGTGCCTCTATCTCGCGTGTTTGCTACTATCTTGGCATACTGCGAGCCTTCTGATCCACGTGCGCTCTGGAACGAACATATGTCGTTATTCTTGACAGATATACGTGCACGCGCACGCGGGCCTGGGAACAGTTCCCGCCGACAACAACTCTCCAATGATGAACACGCTCTGTCGTACGTTTAACTGGAGGTGATGGACGCATTGCAGTCCATGAGTCGTCACACTCTCACGGACTTCAACCTGCCTGAGCCTATGGAAGACCTTCCCCCGTCGCACGAACGGCCTTCTACGCACTCGGGTCACGTGAACACGGAAGTTCTGGAGCAGCGACTTCAGCAAGCTCTTCCGCTCTTCAATGAAGGGCAGAGAAATGCATTTAATCGAATCGTTGATTCCATTCTTCCAGATGTGTCCGCCCAAAGCTCGCAAAGGCTACCTACTCCACCACTTGCCCCAATAGCAAGTAGTTCTGCTGCCCCCAACTCACGCGTTTTCTTTCTTGATGCTCCAGGTGGCACCGGCAAGACTTTCCTTACCAATTCTATACAGAACGTGCTCACCATTCGTGCCAAAACTGTTTTACCTGTTGCCACGTCGGCAGTAGCTGCAGTCTTACTCTATGGCGGCAGAACTGCGCATTCAGTCTTTAAGATTCCTGTACCTCTTCTGTCAGATAATACGTGTAACATCTCGCCGAACTCCACGTTAGGTGAAGATATGAAAGACGTCGACTTGATCATATGGGATGAGATCGTAATGTGCCATAGGTATTGTATAGAAGCCGTAGACCGCACCCTACGCGACCTGACTGGCACCCACTTTCCTTTCGGCGGTAAACACGTCCTGTTTTCTGGAGACTTTCGCCAGATTCTTCGAGTCGTTCCGGGCGGGTCAAGAGCACAGATAGTCAATGCATGTATCAGATCCTTGAATCTCTTCCGAGGATTCGAATCGCTCTCTCTCACTGAGAACATGAGACTTTCAGCTCTCCACCAAGATACGTCCGCAGGCCACGAGGCTCTTCAGTTCGCACCGTTTCTGCTTGAAGTTGGTGAAGGACGTCTGCGAGGTCCGGACCAGCCCCATTTGATACGTCTTCTGACTTCTGTGCGTACTGTGAGATCCATCACAGACCTCAGTCGTACCATCTTTGATGGCATTGCGACACGGCACTCTGACATGGATTGGATCGCTTCTAGAGTCACCCTAGCAAGAACAGTGCTCTGCCAGAAATCAATGAGATTGTTGGAGACATGATTCTGGGTGCGTATTGCACGTTCTTGAGTGCAGACAAAGTAGAGAACGAAGACCGAAACGCCCTCAGATATCCGGTAGAACTATTGAATACACCGACTGCGGGTTCTTCTCTACCAGACCATCAACTAAAGTTGAAGAAGGGTTTCGTTGTCATGCTTCTTCGGAACCTAAATCCTAACGATGGACATGTCAACGGCGCTAGGCACTTAGTGGATGGCATGTCTAACAGCTTGCTTTGTCTCCGCGTAGCTACTGGAAGTCATCTGGGAAAGCCACTCTGCCTGCCTCGCATGCCCTGCGGACCCGGAGACGACAACTTTCCTGTCCCAGGATTTACAAGGACCCAGGTTCCCATTCGCGCTTCCTTCGCCATGACTACAAACAAGGCGCAGGGACAGTCTTTTGGAGGACTCCTGAGACTAGATCTTAGAAACCACTGCTTCTCTCACGGTCAACTATATGCTGCCTTGTCCAGGACCACACATCCCGGCAACGTCGTTGTTTTGATACCGGACGCAGATAAAACTACCCGCAACGTAGTGTATCCTGAAGTCATTTCGTAGACGGACTTCGTCGACAGAGTTTAAATAAATCTACTTTACGTTTTTCAACCTCTGCGTGCCTTTACCACTCCACTTTCTTACATCAAATCTTTTCGCATGACTTCTCACTTTTCCACTCCATTCTATCCATCTATATTGAAACTTTCATTCCCATAACTTTATTTTATTCAAACTCTTTTGCATTCTTCCCCACTTGCGGCGCGCAATGGCACAACGGAGCCACTTATAGGGATCTGTGTCTGCACAGCACTCAAACGTAAGGAGGTATTGGCCCAAGTTATCTCTTGCGCATGGCATGGTTCCGCAGTTCTGAGGTGCTTTAGGGTGGTTTTACTAGACCTTCAAATAGTTACCGTGTTTCAAGCCGAAAACTCAGTGGAGCACCAAAAGGGCAAGTAATTGGCAAGAGGACTGAATGTATCACGAAAGATTTGGTCATTCGTGAAAACACTATTTTCACAAATATGAAAATCTCTTTTCTGGATATTTCAGCTTTTGGCGGACGTACGGTATTTCGAGAAATAATTATCACATTGAAAAGTGCGCCAATACATTCACTCCCCCCAAAGTCATTTACTGTATGGTAACAAATTGCGATAAGTACCACACCAAAAGCCGGATACGGCCTCCCACCATCGAGGGTCCAGGATCCCTAATGTCGATCAGCCCACATGAAGCGCAGAATGCGCTACAGCTGCTTGCCGAGGCAGCTGTCAACCGCACAAATGACTTCGAAGCCTATCCAATGGAGAATTTCAAAAACGACACCGATTAGGAAACAGACTCCAGTACGCCCACTTATGACTCTTTCTACCAGTCTAGTGTGGCTTGCGCCATTATCAAAATGTGCAACTTCTCGCCCGACGAGTTTCAAGAAGTTTGGATGAAGTTCAAGGATGTGGCGCTCAAGAACTAGAACACGGGAAGAGAGAGAAAGATAAAACACGGCGAGAGGGACATGATTTTCATTGTACTAAGCTGCATGAACCATGGGGGACAGTGAGATTTTCTTGGTCGGATGTTCAAGATTAAGGGTCCTTCGCTGAGAGATCTTGTAGAGAAGTTTATTTGATTAGCAGCAGGTGTGAGCTATGAAAAATTGGAGCTGGAGCGGCTTGGCCCATGGAGCGCATAACCAAAAGCAACCGGGCATTCAAAAAGTATCTCTATGCCCGATACGCAATGGATGTTACTTTCCACCACACCAACAGACCTAAAGGAAATCACCAGGAATCTTAAAAAACAGTTTCGGGGAAGCACAAGCTTTATGAGTACAAGACAGAGGTATCAGTTTTACGAATTGGTGCGGCAATCGCGTATAGTGTTCATTTTGCCGGTGCCATTGCCGACACAGACATTTTTTCAATACGAAATCAGAGCAAGAGTTGATGATGAAGAAGATCGAAGGCGAGGAAGACATTCTTGATGCTGATGCCCTGTGTGATAGGTACCCCGATAGTTGGGCTTGCCTTTTAGAAAAGGGATACCAGGGTCTTGCGGAATCAGTTCGAGGTATTGTGCCTACGAAAAAGAAGCCAGGACGGTACTTGAACATGGAAGAGAAGAATAGAAATCGAGAACATGCGTCGTATAGAATTATCGTCGAAAACCATTTTGGTAGATTGTGTGGTGTATAGAATGTACTCGGTTCGCAGTTTCGGTGGGATGAAAATTTTATGATGTGATATTCTCTTTTCTGTTGGGAATTACTAACATGCATGTCCGGTGGCACCCGCTACGAGGAGGTGACCTCAATCTGTACTGGCGTGTCAAGAACAGAAGATATACACTTGGCAAGGAGAGGGTTGAGAAGCGGAAGAGAGTGCAGGCAAAATATAGGCAGAAGCGCAAGGCTAGAATGGACATCAGCTTCCATGCCGGACCCGCAGATGAAGCTATGTTTGAGACTGAGAGGACTTAGATTTCTGAGCACCACCGAGCAATACAGTAAACACTTTCCGTGTTCTTATCCTACGTCGCTTTTTGAAAAATATGAAAATAATTTGCCATGCATTTCGTTCTCAGGTCAAACACATGGTATGCTACCCTGACAGCCTGCGCTTTTACTAAAAGGGGGCGTCTCTCATGAATCATCTGGTATTTATTCAGATACTCCATAACTGGCAGAAAGACCTACTGTAGGAGTTAATGTGCGCCCGTAATCATATAGCCCTATCACTGCCCTATTGAGGGCCAAGGGATGACAAACTCCTTGTCACGATACTTCTTACTGTACATACTGTGCAGTGCTTTCCTGGTTTACGATGAGTGGGCTCCGAGCCTTGAACGTAGCGCTCCTCCCAACACGCTTTACAGAGCGTGTCGGGAAACGAATGGATCGAGTGCCGAGCGCCTTTAGTGAGGCACGCTTGGAAAGTTTTGGTGCAGTCGAAGGAGGGTAAGTTTTATGCTTGCAGCAAACTGTGAGTAGGCAATACCAAGGGTACAGTATGACTACACGAAAAGAGGAGAGGCTCAAAACTTTCAACCTCGATTAGCGAACTTGAAGCGCCTTACTGGTAAGGCGCTTCAAGTTGGCTGCTGGTACCAGCAGCAGACCGCCAAGGCCCTGGGCAGTCATGCATGTGTGGGTGAAGGTACTTCACATTCCGTCGATGCTTTTTTTCGAATGTTCTCTCCAGTATTTTCAGTGCCATGTGGACGAAGTTGACTGGGCAGAGAAGAGGGCGCGTTGTCGGTCATTGCTGGCATCGCGTGTCACACGCCACAGTTTTATTTCTTCCGGTCAGCTGCGCCGTCCCATTGGTCAGCGCTTTGAATACCGGATGCGTGGCATTTTTTGATGCACTGCTTCTTCCTTACCCCTCCAAACCTTGTTGCCTTCAAGAACAAATTTAAAAATTAAAAATCAGCCCTCCTCCTGCTGAGGCCATTCGGAAACATCCACATCGGCTACTCGCGATGCTGCCAAAGACAAAAAATTGCTTCGTTTTCAAATTTCTCTCTTCTCCATTGCTTGTGCTTGATAAAGGTAACACACTGTCGTCCGTCTGCCCCACCCCCATGCTCCACTTTGCCCGCCTCAAGTGAATGCCGACCTACCCCCGCCCCTCCCTATGGCGGCGGAGCACCCGCATGCACACCCGCGCCGCCACCTAGCGAGGCCTTTTTCTCATCTCCTTCGCGCCCGCCTCCGTCCGCGATGGCCTTCTCTTAAATCTCTCGATTTTGTCTCCCCGCGTCTCTTCCGTTTCTTCGGCTTGCTCTGTTTACTCGCCTGTTTCGCTATTGCTGAGCGACAGTTCCGACTCATCACATCGCATCACCGCCAAGTCGCGGATCGTGAAAAAACCCATATCTTGACGAGCAAAATTCTCTCCCATCAAAAACCGCTACACAACGATGACCACGACCTCACAGATCAAAATGTAATCCCCAAACCGTTCTCCGCGAGCGAGAAATCGGTCCATTTGTGGCGCCGCATCGACCATGATCTGCCCCCCGAGCAAAACCCGCCAGACTCGGCTTTGTACGGAACGGGGACTGAGAAATGTTTTTCCCTGGGCCTCCCAGATGCGGCGAAGCAGCCGGTGCGGAAAGGAGACCCCGCCGCGTTCTGGCAGATGAACTCTCGCGCTATGTGCTATTCCCCAAACCCTGTGTGTCTGTCCGGTGGGCACCTTGACCACTTCATCAGTTTTGAGCCACGTGGATCGGGGTCATGCAATGTCCTCGCCGTAGAAAAGGGGCAAATCATTCCCGGAGCCAGGGCAGGCCTTAATGAGTCATGCGCTGCTTGGAGATGGAGGCAGGTTGTCAGCATGTATGGTAAGGAGCACTTTACCACACACCAGCGTTGGACCGAAGCCATTGCAACGATCAAGCATCCAAACCCAAGACATCACCCCGTCGAGTGGCTGCCCGATTTTGCTATCATTGTTCCAAAGTATCCATGGTCCTACAATATATGCCATTATAACAGGATCTGGAACTATGTTCTTTACGTCATTAAGAATTTGAATCTCTTCGTTCCTGATGCTGACGAGATCAAAAATATACACGTCCTCTTCCGGTCAGGGTTCAACTATCATGAGCAGTGGCATGTTGGCATTCGGAATGCCACTCTCCCATTGGTCATGGAAGAGACAGGGAAGCAGATCCATATTGGTAAACTTCGGTATGATCCCCTTCGCGACTTCAGATGTTGGCGCCGGGGGATAGTGTTGGGGCGAGAGGCCAGGATCGACGCCTTTCCGTTTTTAAATGATACGCCGGTGTGGCGTCCCGAGCAGCAGCTCGACGACTCTCACTGGCCAGTCATTCCGCATGACTCGCTCTGGCTTCGCGAAGCTGTCATGAAGGCCTTCAAGCTGCCGAGCATTGGGAAATATGACGGGCCTGGGATTCGCAACTTTGTATCACTGCGTGTGCCACCGCTGCGAGTTGGCATCCTGCAGAGATCACCGAGATCCAGACGGCGGCTGGCGCCGGGAGGAAAAGGGTGGTTTGAAAGCACTCTGCGTGAGCTTTGTGAAAAGCACGGAATGGAGTTGGTTCATGTACACACGAGCGGGACGATGAACCTGGGGGAGCAGGTGAGGCAGGTGAAGGACCTTGGGATGGCCGTGGGGCTTCACGGGGCCAATATGGTAAACACGATGTTCATACCGGCTGGAGGGGCGATGTTTGAGATCTTTCCATGGCGGTATGTTAGATTTTACTACGCGGGAGGTGGGAATTCTGGGCTGCGGTATAGTTTTCATGAGCCGGAGGGCGGAAAGGATATGCATTGTTCGTTTGAGAAGTCGTGGTGCTTTATGAAGTATAGAGAGGCTCGCATTTTTCTGACAAGAAGAGACAAGGAAACAATACGAAGCCGCCTCGATGTGGCGATGGGGTACATCAAAGGGTTGCATCGGCGCTATCCAGATGGTTCCATTCCGTTGCGCAGGGAGGGGGGAGTGTATCATTTTGACAAGTAGGTGTACTGTAGTTGTGGTGAAGATTTGACTTGGCCGCTGTGTACATAATCGCGAGAAAGGCTGTTTGTAAATTGACATAAGGGAACCTTTTCTTTGTTGCGGGTAAGGTTAGTTGTCGGCGGCTACATTTGCATGAGAAACGTGCCGCGTTCTGGGTACTGTAGAGGAGACTCGAATTCAGACTTCCGGATAAGATTGAAAGTGCGGAGTGTTACGGTATTGCTTGAAGGAGAGTTTGCCCAAGCTGCATTCACCGCCGCGCTGACTCGGCCACATGTACAGTACCCTGGTACAGTACAGCAGTGTGCGAGCTGCACGTGGTCCTCTGAGAGAAACTGCACTTTAAGACTGAAGTACAGAAATGCTGTGCAATGCGCACTGGATATCGTACCCTTGGGTACAGTACCATTGTCTCGTTCCCGTCGGAATTGCGACGCGATATGAAACACAGTGCGTTGTATCGCAAGGTTCTATAGTAAACTTTACGCAGTAGATGCGATATGTGCTGTACCGAAGGGTTCTGAACTGCAAAAATAACTTTTCTACAGTATGATGCAGGGCCGAATGTGTCAGCGACGGTGACAGAAAGCAGTGGAAAAATGGCGGTAAAACAAACCAGTTAAATACGGAGATGACAGTCAATAATGCGGCACACGAACGTGTTTATTGCACAGCGACGGTCATGGCTCACACACATGTGGCAAGAAGCGAGATGGATCGAAACGTGGCCAATGTGTCGCTTGACGTTGTAGCCATCGACGACGATAGTTAAAAAGGACGCGCCGAATGCCAGCGCGGAGGTTTGGGAATGGATGCGGAGGCTCCAGGTGTCAGCCGCGCGGGGGGTGACGAGCGGGAGGGCAACGGAGAAATCGCCCATCAGAGCGCTCTATCGCAAAGGAGCAGCGAAGCCAAGGAAAGAGGACAAGAAGTGTACAGTCAAGTGTCCAGTCACAGGCGCAGAGTGTGTGGTAAACGCAAGATATTCAACCAAAATTGAAGGCTTCTCCCGAAACCTTGGCGCAGTACAGTACGTACAGTAGCCGAAACAGAGCTCAGCACCGTCCAACAAGGACTTTCTTCAAGACGACGGCAGGGGTGTTCAATGTAAGGCAGAGGCCCTCGCCGGTGGGTAGCAACCCACGCCGCAAGACACCTTCCACAACGCGTGTAAACCGCATGCCTGCTCACCAACCGGCACACGACCAGTCGCTGCGCAAATTACGGCCTTGCTTTTGAGTCCTTTGCTTAATGCTGGTGTTGCGATGTGCCGGACTTGCAACCCGCCCGCTAAATCTAGCCAACACCCGCCACGTCTCTTTAAAGCTCCAGTTGTATTTGTTACAGTCCCACTCAATCAAACACGCCCGTACAGATGCATGCTGCTTCAAAGAGACACTGGGCGCCATCACTTGAATACACTTTTGCAAACCTGGTCCAGTCTCACCACGCCCTCCGGAACCAGAAGTGATATAAATGGACCAGCTTCCCTCACCGACCCCTCTCTAACTCCCAGTTTGCAGCAAAAGGAATCCCACTTTTCTGCAGTTGAAACTCTTGCTCAAACTCTTGCTCAAACTCTTGCTCAAACCCCAGGTGTCGATATTTCCTTTCTCCGCACACCGCCAAGATGATTGTCCTCCGGACAGCGCTCGTCCTCGTCCTTACTGTCACTCTTGCCGCCGCGGGCCGCAACCCTTGCCATGACAACAAGGGATCGAACGGAGCCGGCGTGACCTGTGAGAAAATCGTTCTCCCGCCGAAGCTTTGCGGAGCATGCAAGCTCAAGCCACCTGGTCCGGGGGGCAACTTTGTCAACTGCAAAGCCATTTACGATCTGGACGACCCAGCGTGCAGAGCCCAACTAGAGAACTACGCTCGTCTCAACCGCAACTGTGATCCCGTCCGGGTGAGGCAGGTGGAGAACTTCTCCGTCCCCGCCAACAAGATGGGTCTCGATTACTTTGTCTACTCGGTATGCGAGGAATGTTGCGATTGCATTCCCATTGGTGCCAGATCCGACCAGTACAGTACCCGCAAGGAAAAGAACACGCTTCTGAGCTCCCGACGAGGCAACTGCCCCGCCCATGCGGCGTATGATATTTGCCTTATCTGGCCTAACGTCAAGTTTGTCTCCGGCCCGTTCTCGAAGGATCAATTTTGGAGACCAAAGATTTGCCCGCTGCTCAAGAGCTGGCTCAGATCACCGCAAAGCAACAACTGGTTGGAAAGGAGCGTCGTGCCGATGGATAAACGCATTTTCGAATTCCTCACTCGTTTCGGTAGAGTGGCGAGATGTCGCAACCGGGACACCTGGATGAGATGCCAGATGTTGGAAGAAAATCAGAAGCGCCTCTGAGAGGCCTCCGATGCGATCTTCTACTGCGGGGGATGACTGTATTTTCCGTAGTCATATTCGATGATCACGGACATGGACAACTTGTATCATTTCGCAAGAGAAAGTTAAGACTACAGTAGCTTTAAAGGACGCCGTGTCCATAATGCTCTCCATTTCGCATTCCTTGATCCAGTTTAGGGATAGGCGTAGCGTCAAACTAAAAAGAACCCGGGTGTGCAATTAACACGTTATTCGAACCAGCTCTCATTTTCGCTTCTCTTTTGTTGTTTGACTGGTGCACTCACCAGTGTTGATAGCGGAGAGGCGTGAACTTTCGTGGTGTGAGAAGTTGTCTTGCATGCTGCAAAATGACATCGGTACATGTATGAATCTGTCCCTCAGCAGCCGCCGTAATTTCGACGCGGATGCGGTACGGCAGGCTGTTCTGCAACAACACTCGCCCGTGACAACGCTGCCTTGCGTGCAAATGCCGTGGTTGGAAAATGCATATTGCAGCATTCCACAGGGCCAGCTGTGGAGATTCGGTACTATAGATAGTTCTTCAACATGAAAACATATATTCCAAGGGAACAATCTTAACGTCCCGGGGGCGGGGTCCTTCGTATCGCAGATACGAAATCGTATCTGGTATTTAAGATGACGGAGGATATGCTATCAAAAAAAAAAAAAAGGGGGGAAGCAGAGCACGTGGAAGCCAAGCAGTCGATATAGCTCACATGTGCGAGAGGTTGAAGCGTTCCACAGACTTAATTGACTTGACTCTGTGTGAACGAGAGCATGTTGTCGAGGTGATTATATCAATGTCGTGAGTGGTTGGCACAGGCTAGAGAGGTGAGCATCTTGGAATGCGGTAGGTGTCCGACACTTAGGTCGGATACGGGCCCGGCTCTAGGCTACAGTACTGTAGTGTAGTCTTTTGAGCTGGTTGGCGCATGTTTGCTAACCCCAGGCAGTGTGAGATGGCCGGTCTACTGCACAGTATTTCCGCAGTATGCGCCAATTACTGTGAGGCGAAGGCTGCTGAGGTTGTTTTCATTGAAAAGACTGCAGACGGGCTCCGGATTAGGGTCTTCGGCTGATCCACAAACAACTGCACACGTGTCCACCTCACAACATCTGTCCTTCATATCCGTCTTTATTTCATCGCCCATAGAACTGATTGATCCGTCGCCAAGGCTGCTGATACGGGAAAAAGGCGCGTATATCTATGGAGCCTGTTTCGGTTCGCAAAGTTCGCATGGCCAGCGCGAGCGCTTCGACCTGACTGCTGCGGAAAACGAACCGCAGATCCATTCTAAGTCAAGAGAGAAGTCCTCTCTCAAGCAATGAGCGGCTTTTTTCGCCGTCGCCGTCGAGCTAAAGAACCTGCTCCCCCGCAGAACTACACTGTCACGCTCCATGCCATTGGCGACAATGTCCAGGACGTTGACTTTCGGTGAGTGAAACTACACCCACGCCATTCACGAACTGGTTCACACCCACTCTTATTCATTAACACTCGGTCTCACCCACTTCACGCCTGTCATGTAGAGGGGGCGCTACCGTCCAGGCCAGGCGCATTGGACTTGTCGGCTTTGTCAGGCACATGAATGACGGCTCGGTTGAGGTGCTGGTCCAGGGAACGAGGGCACAGATTGAAGAAATGAGGGCTTGGTGCCGTACAGGGCCACCGGGTGCCAATGTGTCCAGCGTTATCGAAGCGAGAGCCATGAGTGAAATAACAGAGTTCAATTATCCCGATTTTCGTTCGATGAGGCATATCGGCCCGTAAGCCCAATTCGAGGCGTTTTATTATATCCACTGTCGCTTGATGAGGCATGTTGGAGATACCAAACGATGCGGTACGTCTTTCACGTTCTTTTTTCTGTGTAACACCTGTCTGTGTCATTATGACCCATACTAGTATGCATATGATGATCTCTCAGTAACACTGGAACAATCCGAATCGTATCGGGTCTCTTCTAAGAGGGCTTCCCATGCCGATTAATTACGAATAGGAAGAGTCTGAGGCGCAACCTTGTATCTTATGCACACAACTCAGTTATTGCATGTCCGTCGGACTGCTAACCAGCCTTTTACTCTTCCACAAACTCCCGTTTCATCGATATTCGACAGTCACCCAAATATTCTATGAAGAACATGCTTTTGCTCTAGGTCATGCGGTCATGACAAGCGCAGACCACGTTCAAGCCAAGGGCAACAACCACATATTCTTGCATTAAAGACAGCTCATGTTGATTGCAACTAGTTTATTCTTTCAGCCTCCGTGCCGGCAACAGCTTCCTATCTTTGCTTGCCAATCTGCGCCTACGCTTTTCAATATACTTCTTAACGCCTCCCGTTTTCTTGAGCGCCTTGAATTTCTCCTTCACTTCCAGCCTACGTAGGTCCTTCTCCTTCAAGAAGTATGGCTGCTTGCCCCGCTTCACAGCCTCTTTCTCTTCCTCGCGAACCCTTCGTAAAATTTCTCTCCTCTTTGTAATTACATTCCTTCTGTTGTTCTCTTCCTCCATCTTGCGTAACTCATAAGCTACTTCCTCGTTGCCGTTGTCCTTCATCAGCGTTTTCTCTAACTCGGATTTTCTCTTCTCGCGGAGCTCACTCACGAAGGAGTAGTTCCTTTCCACATGTCCCTCTCGAAGATCTCCGCAGTGCTCCTCGAAACGAGGGTCAAACGCTTTACGGACGCTGCGTTCAAGCCCTCGACCTTCACTAATTCCAAGACACCGCTCTCTCCCCACAGGAACTGGTCTTCGTGATGATATTTCACGCGGCCGGCTCTTCTTCGAGCGCGTCGCAACGCTGTCGGGTGCTTGGTTGGTCCGGTATGGTCGGGCAAAAGCCTCGGATGCTCGCTGGACTTGTTCCCTTTTCGCCACCTGCACTCGTTCTCCCAGGGTCGGTTCATCGTCACCATCGGAACCCTCCCAAAACCTGTCCACAGATTGTTCCATTTGCATGGAAGTGCTCTTAGTAAAAGTAGCAGGTTGATGTTACTGGTTGTCAGTGTTGTTTGGCATGCTCTCAAACCGACTTCAAAGTTTCCAGGGCGAGCCACGGGCGATAGCGAACGTCGGTGAAGTGTTGCCGCGGCGTCTCATTTCAAACTAAATTTTATGAATTTTACTTTGTCTTGATTTTATAGCTACAGTAGCATGTGGCCTCCCAGGTTCTCGTTGGTCGCTCCGTGGACCCAGGGCGTTTGGTATCACCCGGCAACGACGTTGAGAAGAGCGTGTCAATATTCGTGTCGGAAGGCATTTAAAGGCTTGGAGTATTCTGAGAGTCACCAATTGCCGTCTTCACGTGACAACAGCATGGCGGGCCGTGTGATAGCGCAAATTCTGATCATGGGCGGGGGCTATGTTGCGCGAGCATTTGTGCAAGCGTACCAGCAGGCGCTGGTCAATGGCGCTCGCGGCGGTGCATCCCGGGGGGCTGGCGGGAGAAGCATGCGAGGTCGAATTAGTGCAGAGGAAGCCTCGGAAATCCTGGGCGTGAAGAAGGACGCAGGATTGAAGGATATATACAAGCGCTACGACCGCCTGTTCGAGTCTAATGACCCAGCAAAGGGAGGAAGCATTTACATTCAAGCCAAGATTCATCACGCGAAGCAACAGCTCGAGAAAGAAGCAATAGCGCGCGGGGAAGTGCCACCTCCGCCTTCGCAAGACTCTACAACTACGGGGAGCGCCCAAGACTCATCACCAAGGTCATCGTAGCGACTGCGTTCATGCCTTGCACCATTTATCCACAAGCTTGGAAACAGTAGGCATCTCTCCGCACTGTTATTGCCATCATCAGATTAGTAGCCAAGATGATGTCCTGCTCGTCGATCTTTTCTGTTAATTATAAGCCCATCTACTCGACCTCTGTTGCGCCTGCCACCAGTGAGCCAGAGGATTGACTTCGATTGCTCTTCGTGGTCCTCTGTGAAATTCTAAGTTTTCTCTGAAGCTCCAGTAACAGACTACGAGCTTGGGTGGGGTCTCTTGCCGAGCTTTGTAGTAGAGATATTCTCTGAGCGACCGAGACCAGTGATATTGTCTTTTGCAATTGCCGTTTCTCACGCTGGCCAAAGGCAAGGTTTGCCTTTGCGAAATCATTCGCATTGGCAATACTGCGCACTGGCATTCCCGCAAGCAGTTCGTGTGCCTGTGTCGCAACCTGATTCGGGAAGCCCGCTAGTCTAGCGGTATCAATACCATAACTAGTTTCAGTTAAAGTACCACTTCGAACGGTGAATGTAAACTTTCTACCAGCAAGTCCTGTCCCTATTGATGTCATTTGGTTCTCAAACAAAGGGACTGTCTCAAGATGAAATGCTTTGATGACCGGATTGATATTTGCCATTGCTCCTAGTCCCAAGAAATGCGTTGTGAACAAGGTCAGAACATTTGGACATGATGACAAATATTCCGCAACAGCATATGAAATGGCAAAACCATCCAGTGTGGATGTCGATCGTCCTAGTTCGTCAACAAGAATCAAGATGCTCGGCAAATTTGGGGATGGAGTGGTTTGCTTGTCTCCGCAGTTTTCAAGAAACGTGCTATCTTCTTGCTGACGAATCGCTTCCAGAATTGTAGCGATGTCATGCATTTCCTTCGAATAATTCGATTGAGATTGGGATGGGTCGTCGCTGGTGTTGAACCTCGTTGCTATTCTTTTCAAAATTCGGATCGAAGCAAATTTGGCTGGAACCATGCATCCGGTGTGGGCCATGACGGTAATGAGACCGACCATGCGTATGAAAGTCGACTTCCCAGCTTGATTCCTTCCAGATATCAAGTGAAGAGCAGACGTTTCATCGAGGAAGACATCATTGGGAATGGCGACGCGTGGCTTCATATCAAGCAGAACTGGGTGAAAGGCGTTTTGCATCGCAATCGGACCACCGATAGTCAATTTTGGACGTTCAGTGCTTGCCTGGCAGTAAGAAGAATAGCTCACGAATGAGGCCATGGTGTCAAGGATGGCAATGCTGTCACAGAGGCGATGTAGCGCTGTGATTGCCTCAACTTTAAATATTTCATTCAAGAGGGAACCAAGCTCAATCTCTGTTATCCTCCATATTTCTTGTAGAGAATCGTGATACCTTGAGTTCAGTTGCACCAACTCATTTGAGGAGAACCGGTGTATTTTCGTTCCAGCATCGATTTGAATGAACTCATCAGGAAAATCTTTCACATCGAGGAACTTCTTGTGGATTGAAAAGTGAAAGCCCCTCTTCAAGTGCATGGAGAGTTGTAGCTTCGGTATATTATACTTCGTCCTAGTTTGTTCAGCCAAATCGTCCATATCCTCTTTGTTTTCGGAGAGTGTCTTGCGACAGACATCAAGGCGACCTAGACAAATAAGGGAGAATGTTATAAATGTTAGGCACTACCGAAGGATGAAGACAGCTGTCAGGTAGATCAACGTTATCTGCTCCAGCTTTCTCCAGGTGGAGGAGCAGATACTATTGATCTACATCACAGCTGAAGATTGACAATGCGGCCCAAAGGATATGTGGTGTGTACATAACAAACCGTTTCGTCCGGAGAGCACCGCAAAGGCTCCTTGCATACGCATTCTCCCTGCTTCTTTTGCTGGAAGTGCCTCTTGGTCAATGATACCATCAATCTCTAGAAGCAAAGTTGCGAAAGAAGGATGTCGCATGCTTTCCGCTACACCATTTAGTAGTGCCGATTGCGAACCCTCAATTGCCTCCAAGAGAGGTAATACGGCCCGAAGCGCGCCCTTGATCTGGAGGATATTCCTTACCAAGTGAATTGACGGCGGAGATGCAGACTGTATTCTGCCTGTAGTCAAAGGGTTATTGAGGGCGGCATCCTCCCTTGAGCAGTCACTGTCTTCGGCAGATGTGGAATCGAAATGAGCAGGGTCTGCGATAAGCCCGATAGAGCGTAGCTTCGAATTTTCCCTCGCCATCAAAGAGGCTGCGGCACCCTCCAGGTCTGGAAAGCGGGCAAGAATGGCGACAACGTCAAAGTACATTTTTTCCGAGTTGGTCATCTCATCGACAGCGTCTTGACGCATAGTGATAGTGAGGAGGTTCGCACTTGGTTCAAGGAGACACCGCCTCATAAAACGCTTTCCGGCTCGGGTCTTGGTTTTGTCCATGGCACGAAGAAGGCAATCAGAGGCAGCTTTCCCTCCGACACCAACGCGACGGCGAGCGTTGTTGACAATCTCAAGACCCTCTAAGGCAGAAATGTCAAGAAAAACGGCTTCGTCGTTGGGACGAAAACGAATCTTAAGACTCGATGGGGCAAAAGATATCTCATCTATGTGCTCCGTGTATCGAATGAGGGCACCGCAGCATGCAAGGGCTAGGTAGCATGAAGATTCGCCGAGGTTGTGGAGGTTGGGACACTTGACATTGCTGAGCTTATCGGCCATGAGTGCGCCATAGGTCTCGTTGAAATATGTGCGACCTATGAAGGTTCGCTGAAATAGAATTAATAAGACACACACGGATCAGAAGGAAGAAGGTTGAATTGTGTGAAGATTGTTAGAATTACGAGCTATCAGGGGCTGAAATAGTTGAATCGACATTTCCGGTATGGCGGCAGATGACATACCTTAACATTGGCTAGGCGTGTACATGCTTGAATGGCCTGATCGAGGAGCCCTGCAGCGCTGGAAACGCACATGAGAATTTCGACTGGCATAAAGACGCACAATGCGGTGACAAGTTTGACAAAAGTCTTGGAATCAACAAACTGCCTGAGCTCGACATCGAAACCGCGGAGGTTGTACGCGCAAAAGCCGACATCGTTGACTGCATTGTCGATGACGGCGAGGATGTAGGTGTCTTCCTGGCGGGCAGTGCGTGTGCCCGTGCGCGTGCGTGCACGACCGGAAGTGGTGGTACGAGAGACGACGCGGGTGAGCGTAGACGGGGTGCCTGGATGGAGACGCTTACGGGATGAGGGAGGCATCGAAGAACGGGAGGGCAGCGTTGTAGCGTTGTAGGAATAGGGGTGGCATGGCGGTGCGAAAGAGATTTAGAGGACCCGGTGAAGTAGCGGGTTTCGGTTGGTGCGGAAACAGGGGGAAGGAAATGTTTGACGGCTGTGAACATGTATAGGGAGGCGGTAGTTGGCTGCCAAATTTGCTGCACATAGCCATCGTAGGTGGAGTGCGAAATGAAAGTCAAGAGAGATGAAGACGATGTTTCTGTTGGAGCCGATAGTGCGCGTGGCGATGATCGTGAACGTTCCGTATGTGTATCATGAGCACACGTGTAATGTAGGTCTCACGGCATGGATGAAAAGCATGCATAGCACAAATCGGGCGCGATGGAAAGACACAGCTGCAGCAACACTCACACTGGTTGGATGAAAACTAGCGTGCCTTCGCGTATGCTTTCAGAGTTGCAGCCAATGAACGCGCGGCGGAAAATGGTCACTGCAAATCAACCATGGTGACATGACAATGCAGTCACGAAAGCCAGATTGGGATGGATAGCCCACGACGCCTTCCAAAATCATACCCGCGGTGGGGCCTTTTGATTGGCTGTATGTGCCATGGCTTGCAAGACTTAGGTCCATGTCAAACGCGATTCCACGATCCGGATGCATAATCCAGCCCTCCCATTCGCCCATTCGCATCTACACGGCCTCCCAGCCATGACTGCGTACTGCATTCCCCTGATGCCCTCGTTGCCATACCTGCAGCGCTACTTGCCCGCCTCGCTGTAGAGGGGAAACAGACGACGCATCTCCCCCCTTCGCCGCCGCTCCACTCGAATGAAACCCCCCCCACAGTTATCCTCGCATCCACACCGAAACGCCTCTCCACCCACCCCGCCAAACTCCTCCACTTCTTTCGACCTTCGCCCACTGCTCTTTTCTCCACTCTCTACCATACCTAGTCCTCCATTATCCTCGAGTTGTCTCTCCGATTTCAACACTTACTTTCCCCCCATGTCCTAGATGAGAAAGCGTTCCCACTCCTCCACCGTCCCTTCCCGTATTCTCCCCGATAAAGACGTCCCCCTGAAACGTCTCCGTGTGCTACCACGAAAAGCAGAACTCACAAAGCCGGAAGCCGTCCCGCAATGGCTCAACGAAGCCGCTACCGCCTTCGTTGCTCGCACACCTACTTTGCGATGGACCGGAGGATTCTACTCATGGGGTACATGGTTGGATGACCTTCGCCAACTCTCCGTCTGGACAACCACTCCGGAGAATACAAATATCGCCCCACCATGGCGTATTCTCATCGACGCTTGCAAGGCCTCTCGCCAAGTCCGCGGTACCGCCGCCTTGTATGCCGCAAAGAGTGATCTCGTTAATATCATCATCAATCTGGTCTTTAGAAAAGGGGAGGAGCAGAGACTTACTCATGTCAACGAGACCGCCGCTGCAGAGAGGGATGTCATGCGCAGAGTCAGAGCCGTTGTCACTCGTCAACGCAGACACGAAGCCCTTTCTCTTACTCTTATCCGCTTTCTAGATCTCGCCTTCGTCTTTTCTGCTTTCAAAGATTGCCGTGTTGCAGGTGCTATCGCTTTGAACCGTTCGGCTGAACAGGTTGCTGCTGACGTGGAAGCAGAGCTCTTGTTTTTAAATCGTAAGCCCAGCGCAAAGGAGATTCGTGACCTTACAAACCGTATGGAACAATACATGTGGGATAATCGCTGGCTTCCTTGGTATGAACAAGTCCCTGGTGTTCGAGATGACATGGTCATACGAGCTCGAGAAGCCGCTTTGGCCTTTTGCAAAGGCCTCCCTTTTCCACAAATTCGCTTTGGGACAGGCGTCCGAGGCCTCTCCAGAGATCATCTAGCTGGTTCGAAAAGCATGGATGAGTGGCTCTTACTCTTGCTAGACCCTAGTCAAAGCGAGAGGTGGTCTCGTCTTTCCGTCATCTACGAATCTGCGGTACGAGACGAGAGGGGTGAAGAAGATCCTTTGCTTGAAGAGACGTCACGAAGAGTTTTACAAACAGTGTTAGAACCACTAACAGAGCTTAGAGAGGGTCTGGATAGCGCTCACTCCAAGTTGGTCGATGCTGCACCGGGCATTATTGTCTCCCAATCTGTCAATATTCCAGGCCGATTCACCTTCCGCCAGCTGCTCGAATTGTATATACATCTCTCTATGTTTGGGGAATATCTCCACACAACATACCGCGGAAGGGCTCTGCCTTCAATCGACGAGATTCATACAGGTGCCGTACTATACGAGGAGATTAGACGTCGGGTTTGGGAAGTGCGCTGTGTCATCAACGCAGACAAGATGGACACGCTGCTGACTTGGTGTCTCGCCACACAGGAGCTTTACAATGGCATGCCAGCTCTCGAACGTCGAATCTCGTATCAACAGATCGCCGTGAAGGCTGCCTTTGGGTCCGCTATAATACGACATGCGGCGAATCCAAATGCTCCATTTCCAGAACCCTTTATCATGCAGAATGATCCACTGTCTTACGCTGCGATCGTCGCAGAGTGGGATCCTCCCTTAGCAGCCAAAATAGTAGATGCAGCAGTAAGAATTGGGCCGGCAATTCGAGCTAGATTCGAAAGTGGGCATAGTGATGGCCTTGATCTATACACATATCGTCGCGTAGTTGTTTGTGATGCAGCTCGACAGAGATCTGCTGGAGACTTGCAGGCAGCAGCCAGAACTATGGCAAGGCTTCATCCTGTGTGGGATGTATGCGAACCAGACAAGGCGTACGGGCCATTCGACATGAGAGGGGTCATGAGACTACAAGCAGCGGCTGAGGAGGGAAACTTTGAAGCATCTGCTGTCTACGGTTGCTTTCTCTGCAGCTTGGATTGGATTGATCGACGTCGGCAATGTGGAATACCGGAGGATATGGAGAGAGGAATTAGATTTATATGCAAGGCAGTCGCATTAGGAGATACTGCTGCTGCTGCAGACCTCATGCATCTTCTTCTCTCTAATCCCACAAGAATAGATGGACACATCTGGGAGATGACGCCACAATTAGTATGGCACTCTGTCCAGTGTTTGAAGGAAGCTGTGAGGGAAGAGCCTTCGATGCGGTTGTTCGTAGGGTATTTGTATTCTTTGGGCGCGACAGATGTTCCAGTTGATTGCAGAGTGGCTGCAAAAGCCTATCAATGTGTTCTAGAATCCGTCACCTCAAGTCCCAGGTTCCAAGCTTACGCGGCCAATAACTTGGGTGTCTTGCGGTTGTTGAATACACCTGGGGCGAGCAGTGCTCTCCCCGAAGCCAATAAGGCGTTTGAATTCATCCGGGCATCTGCCTCAGCTGCTGACCCCAAAGCTGAATCAAATTTAGGCGCTCTGCTCTGTCTTGAGAGTAGCGACTCGTATCAGCAACTCGAGATGGCAAAACAAACTTATTGGCAGTGTCTCAGCAATCGAGACTACAACAACCCCGTAACAACGATTCAGGCTAGAAGGGATACCAGCGAGGTTAATGTTTACAAAATGAGAATCGCCCCACAACTACGGGAGAAGTTTTGCAGAGAACTTCGTGCTGAAGGCATGGTTATGGAGCGGTACGGGACCGTTTTAGAAACAGAAACAGTGCCGTACGTTCCCCAAGCAACTCTGGCAGAATTGAAGCCGTAGCATCATTGCACTATTTGAAGTGATAGGTTTTACCAGTTTTCTCATTGCATCGAAATATAGGATCTTAGTAGAATGCGATGATACAACATCTATCCGCATCAATGTAAAGTGAACTATGCCTTGAGATTCAATGAGTGCCGGCAGAGCACGATGAAGGATGTGTGAGAACTATGAGTAGTCTGCTTTCACTTCTAAACTCACTGGTTTGGAGTGGGTCTACAAGTATCTCAATCCTAGCTCCCGCATCGAGGATGCCGAATTCGTAGAAAGAGCAACAGTACACATGGGTCCAAGGGGGATCTTATGGAGGACATTCATGGCGTGTTTCCACCAATCTCGGCTTCTTCGTGTCCCAACGCTACTGCTGCAGCAGCTCGTAGATGCATCTTCGCTGCAAAAGAGTAGGTAACTTGCTACTAATAAGGCCTCATATTAGCATTCACGAATGAGTGAGGTCAAACATGCTACTGTACCAAGGGTACTGCACGATATAGAATTGTACAGTATTGTCTATCGACATGAGATCACAATTGCAGAGCGGCATTCACTACACGTGTACTGTACATGAGAAAAGCGTTTTGGCAGGGGTCCAGTTGCCTGATCCCGGCGCATAAATGTTGAATATTCTCCAAAAAAAGACCTTACTGGCCGTCATGCGAGATGTTTTCTCAAGCACACCATACTTTCGTAAATGTCGAGCAGGCCAGCGGGTGTGGAGTCTTGCTTGCGGGGAAGCGGGAAGCATTTAACAAGGGTTGCTGCAGTCATCGTAATTGTCTGGAAGAAAGCGTAATTGGTGAAATTCCAACCATGGAGCAGCAAAGAGCTTTTGTGGCAAGTCCGTCGTTGGTTTTCGGATTCAAGCGAGCATCTTTCGTTTGTGCACGACAAGATGTGCTCATGTGCCGGTGCTCTCACCGACAGTACCGGGTGTCCATGATTGCTGGGGATCAGAGAAGCGAGAAGCAAGTCCCAGTCGAGAAGCTACTGGTTGAACATTCAGACTATGCAGACATGTCAGAGTTTATTGTCGATGTTGATGATGATGATGACGACCTCGACGAAAACATTGTTGAAGTCATCGGACCTGATGGTGAGGTTAAGGAAGAGAAGCGCAAGAAAATTCGCAAGAGAACTGGGAGTTTTGTCGATGAAATCAATATGCCGCCTGACAGTGCGCTAACGAGTGATGCAGATCGACAGCCTCCAATATCTGAGGACGAAACGGCCCAGTACATCCGCACCGCAGTAAAAGCGGCCGACGAACGAAAAGCGGGTGATATTCTTGCGTTGCGAGTGAGCAAACTAACATATACTGCTTCATTCATTGTCATAGCAACTGGAAAGAATTCACCACAAGTGCGCGCTATTGGAAATCTGATCGAAGAAGACCTGGTCAAGAAGCATCAAATGCCTGTTCGTCGACGGGATGGTACAGCAAATTCAGGGTGGCTTCTTTTGGATTGTATGTAATACTTGCTTCTTTTATTCCTTTATCCGCCCCGTACTGCTCGCGAACTGTTTCCTGATTTTCTTGCTTCGTTCCCGTTCCTTTGATTTTCTTATGTGTGTGTGGCGTCACAGACGGAGACTTCATGGTCCACATCTTATCTCCTGAACAACGAGCTAATTACAACTTGGAAGCTTTATGGAAGAACGGCGAACATCTTGATATATCTGATTGCTTATCCGGTCCTGACCAGAGGGTATCCGTGGATGAAGAAACAGTTGATTCTCTCGATGACTGGCTGAGCTAACAAACTCAACTAGATGAAATGCCATGGCGAGAAGACCCGTAGTGAGATGACTGTGAGATGGATTCAGACCGAATTGCCAATCTGTCCGCGATATCGTGCAGGGTATCTCCAATTTCCCTGCAGGATGCGTTTGAAATTCAGAGTTCGTCGTTGGTCAGTCTATGACTCCCTTCTGCGGGCCCTTGTTGGTTCACTGACTCTGCATTCGATACTGCGCGTTCGTCGGCGTCGCCATCTTCGTCATCGTCGTCATCGTCGTCATTGTCGCCATCGCCGTCGTCGTCGTCGTCGTCGTCATCTTCATCTTCAGACTTTGGGTTCGGAGTAAACGGAATATTGTCAATAACTGTCCTAATAATTTCGGGTTGTTTGACCATGTAGTCCTTGGCCATATGGCCATCTCTAATGGTTTCGCAATTTGCGATGACCTGCCGCCCCTGTGGCACAAACCACAGTCTGCATCCAATGCCAGCCGCATTCATCTGGTTTCGGAATTTTGTGGTCACCATGCGCCCTATATTGGGAGAGGAGCCGTGCTTTTCTGTCAGTACAGCCGTGACGACCTTAGGTTGCTTCATTGCCATTCCCATAATGGTATTGATGTCCATACCGGGCTTGATCTCACGCTGCCGCCTCGGAAAAGGGTTCTTTCTTGAATTGTGAGTCTCACCCCATTCCTCCCACGCTTCTTGCGGATCATCATCCCGTTTATCTTTTGTTTCCAGATATTTCACCTCTGTCCTCACGGGTGGCAAGTCTGCAGCACCATTTGAATCGGCGGTCTGTACTGCGCATTGTAAATGCGAAAGCAAGATAATTGCAAGTAAGAGCTTAGACACAGAATTTCGAGCTCGTCTTAATCTACTCATGGCGAGCAGTGCCACAAATCATCGAACGCCCTACGATACGATCAAGCTAAACCCTTTCCCAGAAGAGTGGCTGCAGATCTCAAAATAGAAGAACTCGCACACGACACAGAGCGATGACGAAGGATTATGATGCCATGGACACGCGATAGTTCGGATACTGTACTGAAAAAACGTCACATCATTACTGTAATGCCGTGTAAGAGCGTGTACAGACTCTGTACATGCGAAGGCATCCGTCAAGCCATGCTAATCTGTGTGCAGAGCATGCTGTCGAGGACGAAAGCTTCACTCATTCTCCGCAAGACCCGTAGATAGTGGAATTGTTGGATTCTGAACGAGTGAACAGAGTTCTGTGCCTACTGCCAGACCTAGCGATGTGTGCGTGCTGTGGAGAATAACGCTCTGGCGGAGCTGCGTTATGATGACGGAAACCTGACGGGGCGCGTGCCCCGGTCCACCGGCCATATCCCTGTCTTGGCGTCGTTTGGTTTGCTCCGAGGCGGTCGGATGCGGCGGGGAAGCTGCGAAGTGCAGGATGCCTTGTATCTTTAGGTACAGAAGCTCGTAGTGCAGGGTGCTTTGTATCTTTAGGCACAGAAGCTCGGGGTGCAGGATGCCTTGTGTCCTCAGACATAGTGGCTCTTGATGCAAGATGCCTTGTGTCTTTGGACATAGACGTTCGTATGCTAGGTACAAATCTTGTTTCGGGGACTGACTCCATTTGAGGATTTGCCTCGCGAAAGATGTCTTTCATGGCCTCCAACGTTTCCCACCCCCAGTCCTTTACACAAATCAAAATCTCATTCAACTCATCCTCGAATGGTAATTGCAGCTGTAGCGTTTTCTTCTTTTCGTAGGCTATCAAACCGAATACGAAGATGCTTAAGGCGTGTCCAACAGCTGACACTTTGACGCTTTCGTTCAGCATCACTGGTCGAAATACCATTCGGTAGTAGTGATATCCAACGGCTAGACTGAGAATCGATTGCAGCATTTCGTATCTGGAGCCTTGCAGCACTGTAACCAGTGCTTGCGAAAACATATATCCCACATACATAACAGCATTGATGAAGAGACCTGCGCTTACAAACTTGGAAAACTTGTTCTCACCGAGTAAGCCAATGATCTCACGGCCAAAGAGCACAGAGGACAAGAATAAAATACAAAACTCGGCCATGAAACCGATGGCCTCGTACATGACGGCGTGAAGAATTGACAAGCCGTATAGCTTTTTACATGCTATGCCCCACGCCATGAGTAGTGGAATGGTGGGAAGCAACATGAGGAACTCCTCGATAACGGATCCGATGAGACTTCGTTCGCTTAGTTTTGGTAGCACCCCTTCGACAGCCGAAGCCAGTCTCCGGTCCAGGAGCACAGCCTCTTGAAAATCACGATACAGTGGCTCAAACAATTCAGTGGATTTCGCGAGAACGCCGACTGCGGTAGCGGGTAGGTACTCTACTCCTCTCATATCAAGCCAGTGGGCAAACCCCGCTTCACGTAGCATTCTTTGTAGCTCTCTTCGCCTTTCAGCCAGAAAATTGTAGTTTTCTCCCAGGTCTGCCAACTGATCAGAGAGCTTCTTCGTCGAGTCTTGCACGGCATGCAGCTGCCTCTCTGGCTCTTCCTTGTCCTTTTCAAACTCGGAAAGCTTCTTCTGAGTCTTGAGTTTAACGCGTATCTGATATTCCCTCGCTGCTGTAGTCTCCACAATGGATTCATTCAAATTTTGCAGCAGTATCTTCTCGGCTTGCATGTCACCTTCCAGCTCGGCGACGTCGCCTAAACGCTTCCTTAGTCTGTTTCGGAGCCACATGACAAGCTTCACTGATGCATTACGCAGCTTGTCTTCTTCTTTCTGGACACTGATTGCGCCACGGCCGTCTTTGGGTGGCCGTACTCTTGTGCTGGGAGGTACGGCTGTATGGCTGAAGGTCTCCCGAGGCTGCGTAACATTTTGTTCATGAGGAGACGTGGGAATCCTTTCGCCCAAGGACCTCTTCGTTCGTTCCAGGGGTGGCTGTGGTTGATCGGCATCTGGATCTACAGATAACCCAAGACCATCTTTTGCGCTTGGCTTGAAACTATTTTTGCTGTTCCCATCAGCGACTGCTAGGCCTAACAACTTCCCATCCCTGACGTTGTTTTCAACATCTCGGACGATGGGTTTACTGAGAGGTAGTCGGTTAGCATAACGCATCTGCGACTCGACAGAACGCTTCTCTGTTTTCGCTGGTCCCGTCACTCTACCGCCCGAACGTTTAATGTCGTTGGTTGTTCTTTCGGCCTCTATCCCTTGAAGCGAAAAAACAAATATGAGCACAAACAAGGATGGAATGAGAGAAAATCGGAGACTCATTTCGAAATCGCTTGCGAAGGAGCACGCCAATGATAGGCAAAACGTGGGCTCATTGACCAAACCGGCGGGAAGAGATGATGGGAAAGGCACAACCTGTAATGCATATCGACATGCTAAAACTAGAAGAAGGACGCTCGCCAACAGATTCCAATTAATTATGAATTGATCCGAGGGCTTGATGTTTAAAAAAGTTAGGTGAGGGAAAGTTCGAATTGAGAAAGCAATGCAATATTTACGACGTTGCCACAAATCGTTATCTACATCATGTCATACAATTGCGATACTTGCTATCTCCTGCAACGCGTGCGCTGCGAACCCCCTGTACGTCCAGCCTCTCGAAGGATCGGTGCTTGATTGCATGAAGGACTGACGTGCCCCAGACAACACTTTGCCACACGGACGCAAGATAGCATTCATGGTTTATCGCCCAGAATGCCAGAAATTTACGGTGTTACAGCAGGGGCTTCCCCCATAACCCGGTCACGATGACCGATAGCAAGTACACACCAGACGGCAGCCAGTCTAGGCAAGCTGTAAGAAAGCGAGCATACTCCACCTCATGGCTTCAGATTGTCTTGGCGTCGTTCATCGCAGACTGTGTGGAGCTTGAGAAAATCGGGAGCCCAGCGAAATAGACAGGATTATCCCGACCTTCCTTCGACGATGATGGGTTCTGATGTGTGTACGATTGGTCCGGATATGTCGCGAACGCGGAAGTATCGGCCTTTCGATCCTTAACAGCCGCCTCAATGATATAACTACCTCGATCATAAAGGGTATACAAAAAGATGACCGAGTAGATGACGTAAGCAGGGGCGCCAATGTGAGGGTCCTGATTGAGAATGGTTCTCTTGTAGGCGTTCATGAAAAAGTGCAACCCCACGCACGACATGCAAATGTACTGGGCAAAGTCCTTGAGCGCGCCGGAGACGTAGGCGGTCATGCCGTGCAGGACGAGATGGCAGACGAAAAGGAAGCCATGCAGGATCATGAACGACTCTGCCATATGCTGTGACCGGTGCCGGAAGACGATGAGAATGTCGGTGCGACTCAGCACGGTCATGACGACGCACACGACAGACAGTAAGCCGAAGTAGAGGTTGATCGCAATAAGATAGTGCTCCACTGTCATGAGCGAGAGACGTTGGCGCACCTTCATAACGAGCCATGCGGCAACGACAGTCGGACACAGTAGGATGACGTAGAAAATAAGGCCAGAGTAAAAGGGGCTGTTCTTGATGGCTGGAAGATACTGGTTGATCGCCTCTGTAGTCTCGTTGGTGAGCTGCTCGTTCAGCTCGGCAGCCTCGTCGACGCCGCGCCACACAGGCTCAAACGCATTGGTGGTCTTCAGTATAGTCTCCTTGATGATCGGGTGTAGAATATCGACATTCCTTTCGAGCCATGTGTGAAAGCCACTATCCTGAAACTTAGTAACCAAGCCCTCGACTTTCTTCATCAACCTCTCCCTCTCCATCTCAAGCTCCCTCTCCCGAGCATCTGCCTTCTTCCTATCCGCATCCATCTTGGAGAATGCGGTATCGAAATTCTCCCCCTCCGCCTTCAAATCAACCAACAACTTTTCAATATTTCTCCTCTCCTCCGCAATATGCTCCTTCTCATCAAAGGTGGCATTCTTCTTCTGCTCTGCCAACCGCAAGCTTTCCACAGCCTTTGTCTCCTCCTCCTTGACGCGGCCCTCCTCGCGGACCTTGACCGAGATTCTCGACTTCAAGGCGGTGACCCTCTTCAGCAGCTCGGCCTTTGAGAACATGCGCGTTTGCAGCGACTGAATCTCGTTGAGCTTGCGCGTGAGGGCCTCCTTCTCGGTCTCCACCTTATGAAAGGCCTCATCGTCCGCGCGCACGGCGGCGTCGTCCTCGCGCAGTGGAACTTGTTTGGCGTCCGGCGATAGCTCCTTGTTCTCGTGGCCGTAGTTGGCACGCGCGAGCGTGCTTAGCAGCAGCAGTACACAGAAAAGGAGCAGCGGGACGCGGGGCGAGAGGGAGGACATGGTAGGGGCGAGCAAGGGGGAGCGGGCGCGGTGAGAACGGGCAGGAGGCCCTGGGGTAAGGTTGGGCAGCGGCGGCGGCGGGGTTGGAAGGGGCGGGAGGGTTGCCCTTGTGAATGACAGGGGAGTGCAGTGTGTGTAGGGAGGTGGGAAGAGTGCGGCGGTGGGTTTGAGTTTGGAGAGCGGGTGTTAGAGTGCGAGAGAAGGAGAGGGGGGGGGGGGGAACTGTCGGGGCGGAGGATGGTTAGATTTGGTTCCGTTTCGTCGGAACGGAGGGTGGTTGTCGGAACGGAGGGTGGTTAGTGTTGAAGAAGTGTGATGGGGATCCGGCAAAAGCAGAATGAGTTTACGCGGGTGCTGTGTGCATTACATCTAAGCAGCAGGCGGGTCACGTCGAGTATGATAAGGCTGGGGCCGGGCCCCGCGACCGCGCAGGGCTGATATATTTAGTGTTCTTCGCGATGGGGGGGAAGCCAAATAGGGTCGTAGAGGCGGTCTGACAGTTGCCGCGGGCGGCTTTCGCGGCCACATTTAGAGTGCGGTGATTCGGCGTGACGGGCCCAGGTATCGACACTTGTGCGACGGAGGATGGCCTTCTTGTGACCAATGGAAAAGAGGCAAGCGTTCTTCGAGTGACGGTACACGTGTCTTGAGATGCGTCTATCATCCCGAGCCGCTTTTGTACACGTGGCACAGGTGCTTTTCGACGGAGGAGCACCATCTCCATGACATCTTGTCTCAATCCCCGCCGCCATCGCCGTCCGCACCCCTCCTTCCCCATCCCCACCGCGTTAT